TGCTCGCAGAACTGGTGGCGGCGGCTGCTGCTGCTGATGCCGGTAAAACAGCTTCGAAAAAAGCAGCTCCCGGCAGCAAAACACCATGGCTCTGAAGGACGAGCAAGGTCCAGAACCACGCCAAAAAACTCCCTAACGTGTCGTCTGAAATCCTAGAAAAACAGCACATTGTCGAGAGATTGTCAAGAGATTCTGTTGCCTGCGGCTGCTCGCAGGACTGGTGGCGACGGTTGCTGCTGCTGATGCCGGTAAAACAGCTTCGAAAAAAGCAGCCCCCGGCAGCAAAACACCATAGCTCTGAAGGACGAGCAAGGTCGAAAGATTCTGTTACCTGCGGCTGCTCGCAGAACTGGTGGCAGCGGCTGCTGCTGCTGATGCCGGTAAAACAGCTTCGAAAAAAGCAGCTCCCGGCAGCAAAACACCATGGCTCGGAAGGACGAGCAAGGTCCAAAACCACGCGAAAAAACTCCCTAACGTGTCGTCTGGAAATCTAGAAAAATCTAGAAAAACAGCATTTGTCGAGAGATTCTGTTGCCTGCGGCTGCTGCTGCTGATGCCGGTAAAACAGCTTCGAAAAAAGCAGCCCCCGGCAGCAAAACACCATGGCTCTGAAGGACGAGCAAGGTCGAAAGATTCTGTTGCCTGCGTTGCCTGCGGCTGCTCGCAGAACTGGTGGCGGCGGCTGCTGCTGCTGATGCCGGTAAAACAGCTTCGAAAAAAGCAGCTCCCGGCAGCAAAACACCATGGCTCGGAAGGACGAGCAAGGTCCAAAACCACGCGAAAAAACTCCCTAACGTGTCGTCTGGAAATCTAGAAAAACAGCATTTGTCGACAGATTCTGTTGCCTGCGGCTGCTCGCAGAACTGGTGGCGGCGGCTGCTGCTGCTGATGCCGGTAAAACAGCTTCGAAAAAAGCAGCTCCCGGCAGCAAAACACCATGGCTCGGAAGGACGAGCAAGGTCCAAAACCACGCGAAAAAACTCCCTAACGTGTCGTCTGGAAATCTAGAAAAACAGCATTTGTCGACAGATTCTGTTGCCTGCGGCTGCTCGCAGAACTGGTGGCGGCGGCTGCTGCTGCTGATGTCGTTTGAAATCCTGGAAAAACAGCTTTTTTCGAGAGAGTCTGTCGCCTGCAGCTGCTCGCAGGTGGCGGCTGCTGCTGCTGATGCCGGTACAATAGCTTCGAAAAAAGCAGCTCCCGGCAGCAAAACACCATGGCTCCGAAGGACGAGCAAGTTCCAGAACCACGCCAAAAAACCTCCCAAACGTGTCGTCTGAAATGCTAGAAAAAATGTGCTAGAAAAACAGCAAAAAAACAGCATAGAAACACAGCATTTGTCGATTGTCGAGAGATTCTGTCGCCTACGGCTGCTCGCACGACTGGTGGCGGCGGCTGCTGCTGCTGATGCCAGTAAACCAGCTTCGAAAAAAGCAGCTCCCGGCAGCAAAACACCATGGCTCTGAAGGACGAGCAAGGTCCAGAACCACGCCAAAAAACTCCCTAACGTGTCGTCTGGAAATCTAGAAAAACAGCATTTGTCGACAGATTCTGTTGCCTGCGGCTGCTCGCAGAACTGGTGGCGGCGGCTGCTGCTGCTGATGCCGGTAAAACAGCTTCGAAAAAAGCAGCTCCCGGCAGCAAAACACCATGGCTCTGAAGGACGAGCAAGGTCCAGAACCACGCCAAAAAACTCCCTAACGTGTCGTCTGAAATCCTAGAAAAACAGCACATTGTCGAGAGATTGTCAAGAGATTCTGTTGCCTGCGGCTGCTCGCAGGACTGGTGGCGACGGTTGCTGCTGCTGATGCCGGTAAAACAGCTTCGAAAAAAGCAGCCCCCGGCAGCAAAACACCATAGCTCTGAAGGACGAGCAAGGTCGAAAGATTCTGTTACCTGCGGCTGCTCGCAGAACTGGTGGCGGCGGCTGCTGCTGCTGATGCCGGTAAAACAGCTTCGAAAAAAGCAGCTCCCGGCAGCAAAACACCATGGCTCGGAAGGACGAGCAAGGTCCAAAACCACGCGAAAAAACTCCCTAACGTGTCGTCTGGAAATCTAGAAAAATCTAGAAAAACAGCATTTGTCGAGAGATTCTGTTGCCTGCGGCTGCTGCTGCTGATGCCGGTAAAACAGCTTCGAAAAAAGCAGCCCCCGGCAGCAAAACACCATGGCTCTGAAGGACGAGCAAGGTCGAAAGATTCTGTTGCCTGCGGCTGCTCGCAGAACTGGTGGCGGCGGCTGCTGCTGCTGATGCCGGTAAAACAGCTTCGAAAAAAGCAGCTCCCGGCAGCAAAACACCATGGCTCGGAAGGACGAGCAAGGTCCAAAACCACGCGAAAAAACTCCCTAACGTGTCGTCTGGAAATCTAGAAAAACAGCATTTGTCGACAGATTCTGTTGCCTGCGGCTGCTCGCAGAACTGGTGGCGGCGGCTGCTGCTGCTGATGCCGGTAAAACAGCTTCGAAAAAAGCAGCTCCCGGCAGCAAAACACCATGGCTCTGAAGGACGAGCAAGGTCCAGAACCACGCCAAAAAACTCCCTAACGTGTCGTCTGAAATCCTAGAAAAACAGCACATTGTCGAGAGATTGTCAAGAGATTCTGTTGCCTGCGGCTGCTCGCAGGACTGGTGGCGACGGTTGCTGCTGCTGATGCCGGTAAAACAGCTTCGAAAAAAGCAGCCCCCGGCAGCAAAACACCATAGCTCTGAAGGACGAGCAAGGTCGAAAGATTCTGTTACCTGCGGCTGCTCGCAGAACTGGTGGCGGCGGCTGCTGCTGCTGATGCCGGTAAAACAGCTTCGAAAAAAGCAGCTCCCGGCAGCAAAACACCATGGCTCGGAAGGACGAGCAAGGTCCAAAACCACGCGAAAAAACTCCCTAACGTGTCGTCTGGAAATCTAGAAAAATCTAGAAAAACAGCATTTGTCGAGAGATTCTGTTGCCTGCGGCTGCTGCTGCTGATGCCGGTAAAACAGCTTCGAAAAAAGCAGCCCCCGGCAGCAAAACACCATGGCTCTGAAGGACGAGCAAGGTCGAAAGATTCTGTTGCCTGCGTTGGCTGCTCGCAGAACTGGTGGCGGCGGCTGCTGCTGCTGATGCCGGTAAAACAGCTTCGAAAAAAGCAGCTCCCGGCAGCAAAACACCATGGCTCGGAAGGACGAGCAAGGTCCAAAACCACGCGAAAAAACTCCCTAACGTGTCGTCTGGAAATCTAGAAAAACAGCATTTGTCGACAGATTCTGTTGCCTGCGGCTGCTCGCAGAACTGGTGGCGGCGGCTGCTGCTGCTGATGCCGGTAAAACAGCTTCGAAAAAAGCAGCTCCCGGCAGCAAAACACCATGGCTCGGAAGGACGAGCAAGGTCCAAAACCACGCGAAAAAACTCCCTAACGTGTCGTCTGGAAATCTAGAAAAACAGCATTTGTCGACAGATTCTGTTGCCTGCGGCTGCTCGCAGAACTGGTGGCGGCGGCTGCTGCTGCTGATGCCGGTAAAACAGCTTCGAAAAAAGCAGCTCCCGGCAGCAAAACACCATCGCTCTGAAGGACGAGCAAGGTCCAGAACCACGCCAAAAAACTCCCTAACGTGTCGTCTGAAATCCTAGTCGCGGCACCACTTTTCTAGCTTTATTTCCCGGCGGCCCTCTAGAAAGGAGGATGGAACGCAGACATGCAACACATGCCACGCTGCGAAGGTGCAGCGTGCAGTCCGCAAGCGCGCAGCTGCTTCCAGTGCAGCTCGCCTCGAACCTCTCCGGAAAAGATTGCGCCACAGGCAAATTATCCAGGAGACATGGGAAGCAATTGCTCGGAAACGTAGTCGCACCACGATTCCTGTTGAAAAATGCGTTGAAAATACAGCAGGGCCCACTATCTCGCAGAGAAAGCCGGTCTATGAATATATATGTCCTCATTGTGAGACACAGGTCCGTAGTACTGTCACTGATGGACAAGTTGATGCGAAACAACAGCATTGTGGTGTCCGCTTCCGTGTTCGCGGTGGCACAGTGATTCAGAGCTTTTTCACACATCAGTGTCCAGCATGTTTAACAGAAGTGCAAAGCACGAAACGCTTTGGCCGCATACGGGTAGCGCACAAAAAACGAAACGGGAAAAGATGTGGAACAAAATGTTGGCAAGTAGTATGCTCCGGTACCAAAGACACGACTTGATCTAAGAAAATTGCAGCCTAACCCTGAAGCTTATGGACTATCGAGAGCACAGCAGAGGTGGCACATGGTTGTTGTTGTCGCTCCCCCTTGCATCGGCCGGGGTCAGCGAATTATTATTATTCTTTCCTGGCAGCTGTGTCATAAACTCTTTTTCCCTTACGCACTCCCCCTTGCGTCTGCCGGGGTCGGCGGATACCACTGTTTGTACAATGAGACATAGAACCTCGAGGATGCGGCCTCGAACGAACAAATCAGAGCGGGAAGGGCAACCCAAGGAGCCCCACGTACCTCGAGGAGACTCCGGGAAGGACCCCCCACCGGTAAAACAAAAACCCCGGAGTCAATGAATCGACGTACGTGACCGGTGGGAGGGGGACCCAACAGGGTCCCCCGGCAAAGGGTCATTGTTGTTGTTGTTGTTGTTGTTGTTGTTGTTGTTGTTCTTGTTGTTGTTGTTGTTGTTGTTGTTGTTGTTGTTGTTGTTCTTGTTCTTGTTGTTGTTGTTGTTGTTGTTGTTGTTGTTGTTGTTGTCGTTGTTGTTGTTGTGGTTGTTGTGCTGCTGCTGCTGCTGCTGCTGTTTCTATCTACTGTAGCTGCAGTAGTATAGTAGTAGTCGCAATGTCTTATTCCCTGGCGCGCTCCCCCTTGCGTCTGCCGGGGTCGGCGGATTTTGTCATCCAAAAAGCACCTAGAAGGCCAACTTTCTGCAAAATGGACTGCCAACTTTCGTGTTTGCCGTCTTTGTTGGAGACTTTCTTTCAGAACCTGTGTTTCCTCGGGCTGCAGTCTTGCCATGTCTTGCCCCTTGCTGCGTTTGCTGCTTTCCGTCAGGTGGTGCCCAGCAGTGGCTCTTAAGCCACACTGTCGCCACGGGGGCCTCTTTTGGATGTCGGCCAGGGCCGCAGGATGCAACGGAGCAACTTCGCTTCACATGTTCTGCACATGTTCATCTGCTGTTTCAATACGTTTCAGCAAAATGTGCAGAGCCTGTAAAACGAAACATGTTTCGCCGTGCACGGCGCATGGCGCACGGCGCACGGCTCAGGTGCAATCGATCTTCCGCGCGGCGGCGCAGTCAGACTGAGGCCGGCCGGACGCCTCGGCATCCGCCCGCTGTCACGGCTGTCACGGCTGTCACGGCGCGTGAGGCCGCAGACGTCCCAAGCTGTGATGATCGGCAGGGGCCAAAGATGGACTAAGAGGGGCCACGGATATGGAATGTGGCAAGATTTTTTAAGAGCTTTCCGCATCTGCCATATGCAGGTCTGAGTCAGGGAGGGAAAGAGATGGGATGGTTTTCAGGGTAGGGCTTCGAATGCTTCGAGTCGCACAGTGCTTGCCTCCGGACTGAAGCCCGCAGGGTCATGCACTTTGCAAACAGCCTAATGCCCATAACGCCCAAGGGAATGGATATACCTATCAAATGTGTATTTAATGTGACACACACACATATTTCATGTATATCTAGATACAAACATATAAAAATATGTAGTAAAAATATACAATATACATGAATAGTAGATGACATGTCATATTCGGCACGAGCATCTTGCAGGTAGTGATTCTTACATGAAATCCTAACAGCGATGACACTCTACACATAATTCACCTTGGGCCACTGGAACACATTTGACATGATCTCCGATTTCATGTGTAGGCGGGCATATACAACATATACCTAAATTAAACAATAGGACCGTAAATTTAAATCTTTGATGATCTTGACATGTCAAGAGCTGAGGCGTGGCTTTTCCCCAGCGCCTCTGCGCGTGCAAGCAGATGCGGAAGAGGGCCACGGTGGGGCTGAGCAGCGAAGGCGAGGGTGAAAAACAGGCCGTGTGGTTTTTTCTCCTCTGTGTGACCAGTAGGGGGTGACCGACCTATCATCCTACCACGCTTGCCTGTATCAAACTTTTCTCCGCCAACTTGTCTCTAGAAACTTACCTCTAGCAAACTTGTCTCAATTTATCAAACTCACACTTAGCTTTGCCAAAGTTTGCTCTATCAAACATATCTTTTTCCCAGTTACCTATACGTATCAATATCTCCCTCAAAATTACCTCTATACTATCAACATAATCTCCATCAACGTAATCTCCATTAACCTTGTCTCTCGCCAACTTATCCCTCTGAAACTTAACTCTGTCAAGCTTACGTGTATCAAACTTACCTTTACCGAACTCTCCACCAAACTTCACCCTTTGTGTGATGCCCGATCAAACACACTCCTACCAAACTTACATTCGTTAAATTTACTGCTAGCAAATATGACCCTATCAAACTTACCTCGTTCAAAGTGAACTGTATCGAACTTGCCTTGCCTCTCTATCAAACTTAACTCTATCAAATTTACCCCCCATCAAACTCAAACTTATCTATGCCAAACTGGACCCTGTTCGATTTTTAGCCATCAAATTTGTCTCTATCAAACTTGCCGTTGTCGAACTTCTCTGCATCCAGCTTGTCTGTCATGTGTTGTCCTCATTTATCTGTGTCTTGTTTTCTTTGACCTAATACAACCCATACCTCTACCCACCCTCAATATCCTCAATTATGCGATCTCTCTTCCTTCTATTCTTGTTTACAGGAAAAAATAGTAGGTGGGCTTATCCGGTCTTTTAGTTTTGTGATGGGCACTTTTGCATTAGTGCATATTTTGCCGTTATTTATTGTTGTCGCTATTTGCACCGTTATTACGCATCTTTTTTTGAATGTTCAATTGGGGTGTGAAGGTTGATGGGTTTCCATTCATGGCCATTGAATACCAAGAAACAATCCAGTTTGGTTAGTTTTAGGTTCGTATAACCCCATTTATGGTCATTATAATATGAGACAAACTGATGATGAACAACAGGATTTTTTGGTCGCCCCATTTCAGACAATCAGCTGTTTCTGTTGGGTGTGGTGCAGGCCGCGCAGCGATTCATCCCAGGCGCTGTGATTGAAACATGATTTGAGACATGGTGTGATATCACCAGACATTGATATACCAATGATATCAACATTATCATTATATTACAATTATTTTCAATGTATGTAATATATTACAATCATTCATATTATGATATAATACGTATATGTAATTTAAATGTACATAGCATCACATAATTGTAGATGTGGCTCGTGATATTGTGATACCTCACCATACCATCTGATAGCAAGGGCTCCTGTGCACCTGTGTGCCAGGACCCACCAATTTGTGCAGCTTGTGGAAGGAGTCGGAACGTGGGCAATTTGGCAATTCCTCAGGCAATTGACGATTTGACATGGACAGGACTGCCAAAACCCGTTGTGGAAGATGCAAACAAGAGAATTACTGCAACAAGGAGTGCCAGGCGCGATCCAGCGATGTCAGGGTCCAGATGGAGTGTTTCTCTGGGAAATCCCAGACCTCCTCAGAACTCCGGAGTGTTGTTGTCCCACACCGGCAGGTCCACACAAAATTGCAGCGTAAAAAAACCATTTCAAGCGCTCAAAATAGATCAAAACACTTCGTGACTTCGTCCCTGTGAGGCCCAACATTGGAAGAAACATAAACTTGTGTGTCGACCTGCGTCCACGTCTGAGACTCAGTTCCTCAGTTCAGTCAGTTGAGTTCTGAAACAGAGATTTCTATCGGCGAGGCCCTCGCGGCCCAGCACGACACCGGCGAGGTTCGAGTAATAAACCGGGGCAATGGCGACAAACTTGGCTCCAAAATGTCTATCTAGCATTCATTTCCACTGTTCTCTGAGAATCAACGTGTTCAGTAAACATCTAGTGATATCCACTATATATCCACTATATATCCACTATATTGACTCTATTCATGGTTTTTCCTGGCGATTTTCGATTTTCTGAAATCCAAAAAACGTGGGAAATTGGGCAATTTCCATTGGAATCACCACATTTTGAGGCAGCCCTCAGAGGACGTGGAGCTGATTCCACTCTGCGGCCAAGGCTTTCGGCGCTGGTGCGGAGTCCCAGGAGTCCCAGGGAATCTTTCAGAGATCACGGGCTCCAAGGTTCGAAGGGTTCTAAGGGTTCCAAGGGTTCAAGATTTCCATGGATTTCCCAGGGATTTCCGTCTTTTTCTGATGGTTTTCGATGATTTTCTTGGTGTTTCTTGATGTTTCATGGCATCCCAGGCTCTCCCAATCCGCATGGCGGCAAGTAAGCTCTGCTCAGCTGGAGGACCGCTTCCAAGACGGTATGATCGGTATGGCATGGCAATGCATATAATGCATGGCGCATTTTCCAGGAACCCAGTGTTGGCATCACCAACTGGAGCAACAACTGCTACCTCAGTGCAGTCAGAGACCTAGCGGACCTAGTGTTTGAAAACAGAGAATCCCATGGAACTTCATTCGGATGCCTTATTTTTTGAGAAATGAAATTTCACGTTGGCCGCCTTGAGTCGGATGATACTTGTCGCTGAGAGTTTCCGCCCCGAAGCACGTGTTTTTCTGGAGATGATTTGCAGTCCAGTGCAGCTGTGGGGCGAGGGAAATGATGCGCACCAAAGCTTCACAAGCCCTTCCGAATCAAATCAAAATATCTCAGAAATTGTCAGAAATTGTCACAATATATCTATGATATCTCACATTTTGTACCAAAAATGGTGAAACTCTGGTGAAAGTGGCACCTCGTAGCACCTGGTACCTGTCGTTGTCACCTTGATCCACTGATCTGTCTGCCATGTGTGGCTCAAGCCATGACGGTCCCCGCATTTGGAGATGCGGAGTCAGGAGCTACAGATTTGACGTGGTGTGATGATACAATTGACTGGATCTGGTTGGTGGTTTCAAACATGACTTTTATTTTCCATATTTTTCCATAATATATGGGATAATCCTTCCCAACTGACTAGATAATATTGATGTTTGAAGGTCGGAACTTTTGAAGCTGAGCAATTTTTGAAAAATGCAGATGTTTGATATGTTTGCATCCTCAATCTCGTGTCTGGATCAAGTCATTCAACTTGGGTCCAATCATCATACATCATCATACGTCGTTGTACACATCATCAGAATCATCATACACATCACAATATCTATTTCTATCTATATCATAATTTCTATATCAACATGTCTATACCTATATCATAATACCTCTATCAACATGTCTAAATCATAATACCTCTATCCAAATGTCTATATCATTATCATAAAATATATATCACAATATTTACTATCTACATCATGTACATTTATATATATATATACACGATGCCTTAAGCATTATATATATTATCTATCAATTTCTCTATCTATCTCTTTATTGATCTATCTCCATCTCCATTCCTATCTCCATCTCCATTCCGATCTCTATCTCTATCTCTATCTCTATCTGTATGCCTATCTCACTATGTGTATATTTGCTGATATTTGTTTATAGATATCATCACCCCATCGTCATCCCGGGCAGGAGTCAAGTTATGCATCAAGGTGTACACGTCCTGCACGGCGGTGACAGATTATCAGCTAGCGAGTCACTCAGATCTTGGGGACATAGAGAGACAACAGAAACCTGAACAAAACATGGGAGGAACATGGAAACCTGACATGGGAAGAACATGAAAGATGCAAAAGAGCATAAGATGCTATTTTCATGTGTCATATTATGATTATTATGTACTCTAAAGATCTCTAAAGATTCTAGTGCTTTGACTCCAATTTGACGCATGAATCACCAATCAGATCCAGAACCCTGCCACATTTTCATTGAAATGTTGTGACATGTTGTGACATGTTGTGACATTTCACATGAACATTTCAGCGATGACTTGCTTGCGAGGTGCTACCACCCTGGTACTGAGAAGCTCTGCTTCAAAGATTACGCATCCAGGACGATGCTGAAGCGTTGAAGATTCAAACTGCAAAGCTCGGCATGTCATATGTGATGCATATGTGATGCATAGATGCATTCGTGATATGTCAAACATGTCGTATTTGTATTGGAATTGTTAAGCACTTTGGATATACATTTGGACATCTTTGGATATTTGACAAAAATTGACAATACATTTTTGATATGTGACAAATTTTGGATATGTTTTGGCACATTTTTGCCACATTTGCAGAAATCTCCAGGCCTCATGACCCTCTTGAACGTAGCTACTGCGGTCCTTGGTCGGGAGACCCGGGTGACCCGGGTGACGTGGGTGAGCTGGGTGACCTGTGACAGTTGGAACGGCTGTCACCTCGACGATCTCGCGCACAGGTTACGAGCGGCCAAGATACGACTTCGTGGCTGGGATATGGTGGTTGAAATCGTGGTTGAACTTGGAACAGACTTGGAACAGACTTGGAACAGAGGGACTTTTCGATTTTCAACACGTGTTTTTTGTTGTTGCCTCCTTGCCTTCTCGAAGTCGAGCTGAGGTATACATGCCTTGGGCAAAATTGGCCAGTCCGCCCTGTTACGAAGCTGTGGCAACAAATGCAGCCGTTTGAGGGTGCCATTTTCTTTGTCACCGGTCAAAAATCCTTTCTTCATTTTCATCCGTGTGCCAGGCATTTGTGAACTTTGAGGATCCACAAAGCTGTCACGCTTATTTTGGCGTGATACAAAATGTCTGCAAACTGAGTGACTTGGCGCTTTCAGCACTGTTCCAAAATGCCAATGCTCGATCACCAGACAAGAGAAGCTCGTGCCATGGTGCTACTATGTGCTGCTGTAGCCACGTAGTCATTCCATGTCATTCCCAGTCTCAGCATCAGGTATCCACAGTACCTCATAGTAATGGCATAGTAATGGCATAGTAATCATAGTACTTCTCTATACTTCTCTATACTTCTCTCCCTTTCGGCTGATGTTGATGGTTTTGTTTTCCAGTGATCTTGAGGAATGTTGGACCCGTACTGTTTCCCAGGCTTGGAACATCCAGGCATTTCGGCAGTTGCAGAAGCATACATACAGGGCCTGGCTCGCAACTTGGCATTCTTCATTTCCAAATCCGGCATGCAGGTCGGGCTGGGAAACAGCTTGGAATTTTTGTTGGAACAGGATGGAACAGTGAGAAATTCTGCAAGGAACCCACTTTTTGATGCTTGGCATTGATGTGGAATACATTGGAACACACATACAATTCCAGTGTTTGCCCTTCTCCATTGGTCTTCTGCTTTAGTTTCACATTTTTTTAAAAGATACATGTAAATCTTTCCTCTCCTTGCCCTGTTCTCTAGAGACTCTAGAGGGTATTTGGGAGACATCTTGTTGAAGTTCCAGTTCTTTGATAAAAACATTATCATTATTTAACAAAGAACTGGAATTTATTATCATTATCATTATCATTGCAGTTTATATATTAACAGTTTATCATTATCATGTTATTAAAGACAGTTTATTGTTAACTCACTGAGTTCTGAGTCTCGGAATTTCGGAGCGAACTTCGACCAACATTTTGGACCAACGAAGGGGCTCGCCACGCCAGGCCATCAACGATCCCAGGGCGCCCTTGATTTTTCATCAAGGAAGCGTGACATAAAGCGTGACATAAAGCGTGACAAAGCGTGGCAATTCTCAGAGATCAAAGTTCTTCCAAAAATCACATTGAAAGTGTCTGAGGGGAAAAATAAAATGCTATTTGAGTCGGTTATTTTAGTCTGTTTGTCGCTGATTTGCCATTGAAGACCGTTGACGACCTGGCCAGGAGAGGAAGTGCTGCTTTCGGATGCCATCAATACATATGTCACGGCCGAGCTCTTGGCTGAGTACCGAGGTTCAACTGAGATTCGTGGACTGCAATGGCGAGAAAAACATAAATAGAGATATAAACAGAAATATTAATGCATATAATCACACATATATAATATATACATAAATATATTCTATACATACATATTATATATATATAAATACGGGCAACGCCTGGGCTTTGCCCCAGCGTTGCAGTGTAGAGGGTTCCCATTCCCAATCAAATGTTGTTCCAACTTTACATTCAATTGGGAAGATCAACAAAGGTAATTAGGGAATATTAAAATCCCACCCCCGTTAAACTCTGCATTCAATTGGGAAGATCAACACAGGTATTAGGGAATATTAAAATCCCACTCCCATTAAACTTTACATTCAATTGGGAAGATCAACAAAGGTAATTAGGGGAATATTAAAATCCCACCCCCGTTAAACTCTACATTCAATTGGGAAGATCAACAAAGGTATTAGGGAATATTAACATCCCACCCCCGTTAAACTCTACATTCAATTGGGAAGATCAACAAAGGTATTAGGGAGCATTAAAATCCCACCCTTGTTAAACTTTACATTCAATTGGAAAGATCAACAAAGATGATGACGATGATGATGATGATGATGATGATGACGATCCGTTGCCCGTCGTCGTTGCGGTTCGGGGCAAAGTCCAGGCATTTGCCGTATAAATATATTATGTTATGTTGCGTTATATTATATTATTTTATTTTATTTCATTTCATTTCATTTTGTATTTTTTCATATTATGTTATTTTGTATTAAATTATTTTATATTATGTTATATCGTTTTATATTGTATTATATTACTTTATATTATTTTATATTGTATTGTATTATATTATATTAAATTAAATTATAGTATATTATATTTTATTATGTTATGTTATTCTGTATTAAATTTTATTGTATTATGTTATATTGTTTTATATTGCTTTATAATTTGTTAAATTATACTTATTATCTTATATCCTATATATATCATAGATTATATATTATATATATTATACAATATAATATTATATTATATCATATTATATTATATAATACTATATAATATTATATAATATTATATTATCGAAGGAAGTTTAGAAGTCAAACTTCCGACAATATGGCCAGATGAAAAGCAGAGTAGGGCAGAGGCAGAGAGAAGAGAAAGATTAGAAGAGAGAAGAGTAGAAGAGAAAGAGTCAGAAGAAAGAAGATGCAGATGCGCGAAAAGGTAGGAAAGTCGCGAAACACTGTGTTTTTCCAATGATTTGTGGCTCCGGAGGGTCGAAAAGTAGGCTCGCTAAAGCGGCTGGTGCGGAGCCAGCTGGCCAGATGAGAGATGAAAAATTGCACGCCGTTGTGGCGCGAAGCACATTTCCAAGTCAAAATGTACAAAACACACCATTCTCAGACCACTTTTGGCAGTTGAGACGTCGAAAAAGTGCACGCCAGTGTGGCGCGAAGCGCATATCACATTGGGACATTCATCTTCAACCCTGACGACCATGACATTGAAGATGTTCCGGAGACACAACTTGAAACCCGGAAATGGTGGTCGAATTTTGGTTGGAAGAAGATTACGCAATCTCATCCACAGGGTTCCAGAAA